ATAGTCAGAGAAAAGGTAAGAGAATTTTCAGAAAGAAAGATACAAGTTCGTTCACATCCCACTACCTCCTTCTCTCTCTCCTTATATAAAAGATTCCTCACACAAATTCTCTCAACATGCTATTGCGGTTACGTGTCCTAGTCCCACGTCTCACTTCCTGAATTTCCGGGTTGTTAGCAACTACCCAATCATTTCCCATATTGTACTCCTCTCTTTATATATTTGCTGCATCATTATTTTTCATGTAAGCTTGTCCAGCTGACACCTTCATTACACATTCATAGAGCTCAAATTTAAAAAATTCATGTTTTGTTTTATTCAAAAATTAAAAATTGTGATAGTCTAAGTCTGAGTTCTAAATATGTAATATTCATGTCATATATATATATATATATATATATAATATTTATTAATAAAAATGCATATTTTTTATATTAGATATATCGCAGTATCTAATTTAATTCTATAAAATCTATTAAATAATATAAATATTTTATTTATCTATTATATTATCATATTGACACGAGATTTTATTGTATCTTTATCAATTTTGAATGAGATTTTCGTCATTCTCTCAAGACTAACGAAACAGATTTTTCATTATTCTTTTGTATTTAAAAACATTATTTAAAGTAATTATAATATAAAATATTCTCAATTTAAAAAATTTTGTATTTAACTCAATTATATAAAATTAATTAAATAAGATTAAGATTATATTTTGAATAATATTATTATATATATATTTTTTATTAATTTTCAACATTTAATAAAATTAAAAATAAAAATATTTCATGAAATAAATATTTAAGAATTAAATGACAATGTTTTCTATTAAGTTAACACAAAAATTTATGTAAAAAAAAAAGTCTCTTGATATTTTCTTTTCTTGAGATGAAAGTTGCAAATAAGGCAAAATATTGGGGCAAAAGTTAATATATTGATGATGTAAAAGATTAAATAAGTCCATATTGAAGGACTATTGTGGAGTTGGGTAGACAGAATATAGATGAGATGTTTACTACATAAAATATTTGTAATTGCAGAGTCAAAACAAAAAAATTAGATAAAGAAAATGACACAAAGGAAACATAGAAGAAAATTGGATTAGAACGTAAGAATGTTGCAGATTAGAACATTGATTCCAAAGTTGATCTTTAACTTCAAAATCCCCTTGAGATGTTGAAAATGAAAGATGATTTTACTAATGAGAATGATGGGGTTCTACCACATGATATGGCAAGTTCCTAGAGATTAAGAGTAATAATTTAAACTTTTACAGTTTCGTATCTAGAAGTTTAGTTTATTGTATATGATGCATACATAAATAATTGATGTGTTATTGGTCAATTTGCCGTCCTCAATCCGATATATTATTCAACTCTTTTTGTTTAATTTATTAAAAGCATTCAAACATAAACACTTGAATCTTCAATTTCATTATTCATGCTTTTGGCAAACGTCATGGCTTATAGAGCACACCCAAAACACAAGACCCCACCTATTGATTATAAAGTCTTTGTTCGAAGTTAATAATTGAACCACTCACTGTAGCTGAATGATCACTTCCTAGTTATTCCTCTCTCTCTTGCCAAACAAATTACCCAATTGTTTGAGGTGTGTTTCTTCATCTTCCACTGCCACTATTTTCCACTTCTTGCAACATGCTTGCCAGTAATCTGTCATTAGAAGTTCTCATAAACTTGAATATCACTACCTATTTGTCTCTGATGCACGTTGACATGATAAAACTATCAAAACTAGCTAACATGGTTTGCTTTTGTTTGTTCATTAATTTTGTCTTATTGTTATTGTAATTATTTTGTTCCAAGTTTTAATACCAAATTTAAGGGTTTTGAATACACTGACATGCATGCTCTTTGTTTTAGTGTTCTACTTTTGTTAGTGGCTTGCTGAAGATGACACACTTACTTATATAGTTAACTATGCTGATAAGGATATGCATATGCAAACAGATATTCAACATGAGATTTGTAGCTCAAGATTGGGTGATTTCGTGGGGACTATTATTCTTGGTGTCATGCACAACATACTCATCAACTGCTCTGGGGGAACCTGAGAACAACATAAAAACATCTGTTTTTCTAACACCCAAGTTTGAGCTAGGTCCAGGGTCAGTTGCAAACAAAATTTATTTTGACGTTGACTTTCCAAGAGGCCATATTGCACTCAAGAGTTTCAATGCTGAAGTGGTTGATGAGGCAGGGAAATCAGTATCTCTCCAGGAAACATATCTCCACCATTGGATTGTAGTAAAATACCACCAACCTAAAAATGTGTCACACAATAATAACCAAACAGATGTTTTTACAATGAGAAACAGTGGCTTATGCCAGGAAGATGTTCTTGGTCAGTATTTTGGGCTTGGATCTGAAACAAGAGGAACTACCACTGATATTCCAGACCCTTTTGGGATAGAAATCGGAAACCCTTCAGAAATTGAATATGGTTATGAGGAAAAGTGGTTGATTAATGTGCATGCCATTGACACAAGGGGTGTGGAAGATAGGATGGGGTGCACTGAGTGCAGATGTGATCTATATAATGTTACAAAGGATGAGAATGGAAACCCTTTGAATCCATATTATAAAGGAGGTTTGGATTGTTGCCCTGATAATTCTCAGTGCAGGTTGGAGAAAAGCTTCAAAGGTTCAAAGAAAAACCTATATCTGAGATACACAGTGAAGTGGATCAACTGGGATAACTATGTGGTGCCCCTTAAGATTTATATACTTGATGTGACTGATGTTTTGAATGTGTCCAAAGGAATGAGTCCAAACCACACTTGCAAGGTAAGATAATTAATTCTCTAGAAACATACTAAAGGATTCTTTACTCTGCAATTTAGGTTCAATTGTCCACTTAACACCTCATGTATTGGTTTTAAATAGTACACTTATTTTTGTCTCTTTGTATATAAATTTTACACATTTGATGTTTATTTTAAATCTTTTCATTACAAAAATATATTAAGATTGGAATACATCTTGATATAACATACTAATATTGCATTATCATTTAATCTCATCTAAAGTTTTATTTAGTTAAGATAGTTTTGTAACAATCATCAATATAATCATTGAATAAGGAGATGATTAGAAAAGAAATTTGGACGAGTGAGAACGTTAATCCTATCATTTGAACCCACCTTTCCTTCAAGATAAGAAATACATACAGAATCACATATATCATAAATGACAACATCACACTGTGTTATCAATGTAACTTAATAAACAACATATTATAATAAAACAGGATAATTATTCTACTCTATTATATCATGTTCACAAAATGATGCTGAAATTATAGAAAATCTGTTCCAAAAGGAGTATAGAGTATTTCGTTCTCTTGTATATGTCGTCTCAGTACGAATTTATTCCAAAATGTATATAATTGTTGTCGACGTATATGATTTTATTAGCTGTAAGTAACAATAGATTTATATATTTGCTGCAGATTGAGTATGAGGTTGAACCTTGCAGCAAAGGGTACAACAGTAGTTCTTGCATTGATGTAAAGAAAACAAGCCTCCCAATGGAAAGAGGTGGTTATGTAATCTATGGTGTTGGTCATCAACACTCGGGTGCAGTTGCTTCAACCCTCTACCGACAGGTGATGCTCAATTATAATTATTCACAACAGATCAATCTTATTCCTGTCTGTCAAATTAGTAAAAACATAGAAAATGGTACTACGTACTTTTACCATTAAATAGAAGGAAATTCTAATTTCGAACCTCTCTGTTCCTTTCATGTCATTGACATCCATTCAGGATCATAAACATAATACTCATGTAAAAAGATTCAGAAATTCATATTGGATTTTTAGTTCACTTATACTAGCACCAGCTCTTCTTTTTCAATCTTTTTATTGTTATATACTTCTTTTGCTTCTCCCAATGCACTCTTCACATATTCACCAAACAATGTAAAAGGAAGAAAATCATCCATATAGTTGTTGGGACTAGGACATCAGTGCTTCTTTTTATTTTTCAATCAAGTATATTCTTTGAACCCATGTCATTGTAACTTGATCTGTGAGATGCTAACTAATTCTTTGAAATGTGAAAAAAAAATCAGGATGGGGGAGTTATTTGTTCTTCAATACCAAAATATGGAAATGGAAATGAAGCAGGAAATGAGAAAGGGTATGTTGTAGGAATGTCCACTTGTTACCCTAAACCAGGTAATATCAGAATAAAAGATGGTGAAACCCTAAGTCTAGAGGTTAGCTACAGCAACAGCGAAATGCACACTGGAGTGATGGGGCTTTTCTACATCTTGGTGGCAGAACAACTTCCACATCAACACTACCTTTGAAATTTCTGTGTCCTAACGATATCTCTGACATCATATTGGAAGTGGATCCAATCTATATGAATAAGTGAATACATTATGGTATAAAATAAAGCCAGCACTGTGATCTGTAATATAATAATGTATTATACTATAAATTATGCCAAAAACGGGAACAAAGCAGCTAAATGTTTAAACATGAGTCATGATAGACAAATAATGTTTGCAGGGGCCTCTAACATTGGTGAAGCACAAGATTTTGTTCAAAAATACTAATAATGGTTTAATACATTAGTATAGTAACTGATTATCCTTTGACATTCCACGTGTATTGAAAACAAGGAAATGGGTCACGACTTGGAGTACTGAATAACTAATATATAAAGCTACTCCAAAATTGAATGGCAAACAGAATTGAAAATCAGAACAAATCTGGCCCAAAAACAACGGACTTTCATGCAACAACTTAAGAATGGGAAAAATAAGTTTGATACGTTAACCTCCCCCTCTAATCACGATTGGTTAGTCGGAATTCATAGCAGCCTTTGTAAGAAAATTCATACCAAATAGTATTACTAAATAAACCCATAATGCGGGTAATTTTTCCTACCATCACTTAAAAAAACTTTTTCTAAAGGTTTATCCAACACAATAATGAGAGTTTATATAGTTAGTTGAACATTCTCAAGGATCATCTGAGGTAAACTTGTGTATAAAATGCAGGAGTAAGCAAGCATCTATCCACCCAGAATTTATACTAGATACACCATAAAGCATGTACATTTTACAGTCAAGTTCACTCTCAAGGAGCTTTTTCCTCTATTCAAACTCTACTAAAATATTAACCAAGCGGACCTATGAGCTAATTGTTAACGACTAACCTTAGGAAGTGATGTCTCTGACCCGTATCCAAAAGTTGATGATGAAGACAGCTTTTCAAAATTGACAAGTTTAACAGCACTATGCTTATGAAGTTCTTGTGAGGCATGGAGTAAATGCCTGTGTAATCCATGGTTAATAGCAGACCATGCATAAAAAATGCCCAGGTGACATGCCAGAATATTTATTGTACAAATGCCAAGTAATCAGATAATCCAACACTGCATCTCCAAGAAATTCTAGTCGCTGCAGGCAAAGGGGCATATCATTCATGAATTGAGATAAAAGAATCAAGATTAAGAAGAATATGAGGAAAAAATTATTTATCAAGAAGGATGTGTACAATTACTATTTACTAGGTCCCACCAAGAATTGAAAATGATAGGCTAGTCTATATGGAGTGGATGAAAGTTCATCCATACCAAATAAATATATGCTTACTTTCCCCTCTTATTCCCATATAATGAATAATAACTCCAGTAAATACCTGATAACATCTAGGAACTTCAGGCAGCATGTAGGAACCATGGGTCAAAGCTTCCACTAAAAGAGTAAGGTCATTGAATGACTACTTTAATTGCGATTATAAAAAGTTGACACACCAGTTTCTCAGGTTGAATGTGAAAGTGCCTCTCATAGGGCATTTTATTAAAGCTCACTTTAATACCAACCCAATCCATAAACAACAGCGCAGCCTTTTCACCACCAGTGATGAGGAAACACCAATTAGTGCCTCGACTATATCAGCAATGATCTTTTGTGTTGATTTTCTTTTTCCACTAATATAAATTGTTTTTCCCTCACTAACCAACTCTTTCAGTTTAAAAATTCCCAGATTTATCACCTGAAATGGTCCAGGAACGAGGATCAAAAGGCTCATTTCGGATGAAGCCCTGCAAATAAAAATAATGCAGAATGAAGAATTCTGAAGTTTCAAGATGTATCATGCAATCCTCGTGATAAAAATGCAGAATTCTAAGACCATAGAAATTCATCTGAGAATGACCAAAGAACAACTAAGCAATACAATCAACTACTGATGGCACAAGCATTGAAGATTAGAAAGCCCATTATTAGTAGAAATTATAAAAAATTTCAATTTAATCTTTCATACAAACCCACGAATCAATTCTGGAAGATTCAGGGTTTAGAAAGGTTCACCGGTTTCCACACAACCAAATTTAATAAATAATATTTTTATAATATAATAAATATAATAAATTTCTTAATATTAGTATTTTTTATAAAAAATTAAAAATAATAAAAATCATTATCATTTTAAAATAAAAATTATAAATATAAAATATATAAGAGAATATAAAATAAATAATTGTTAAAGTAATATAAAAATATAATAAAATTATTATCATTTAAAATTAACGTAATTAGATAAAAAAATATTATATTTTTATAAAAAAAATATATTACAAAAATTTAATCATAATTTTTTTTACCCAAATCAATTTAATCCAAAAAATTTACTGATTTTTCTAGTTTAATTAAAATCCAATTTTTAGAAATAATGGACTAATTTATAGTCCACGCTAGTGCAAAAAAACTCTTTTATATCATTTAATTCTCCTTGATTAAAAAATAATCGACTTAAAAAAAATACGATGACAATGTTATAAATATTGGGTGCAACTTTTACATTGGACCAATGAAGTGGTGATGTAAAAAAGTCTTTTACGTCTGATCAATAGGGTCTGACATAAAAAACCTCTTTTAAATCATTTATTTATGGGTCTGACGTTAAAAGCTGGACCAGTTTGGTCCGACGTAAAATACCTCTTTTATATCGGTTTCTTATGAGTCTGACATAAAAGTCGTATTTTATTCTATTCCTGCACTACTTCCTTATCTCGCGCAGTAAGAATTTTTTAAAATGACAACAAGAACGATGACAGCGACAATGACCAGCTCCTCTCAAGGTATATTTTGACCACAGTAAGTGACGAAAATACTTTCATTGTGTCCGATTTGTGGTGGTTGACATTTCTCTCCGATTGAATTCGAGTTTTACAACATTTTTTGTATATTTGAGGTTAGTGTTATATGTGTCTCGTCTCTTCTTTTATGTTGAAATTGAATGTTTCTACTAAATTGTTATTAATATTGAACTGTTGTAGTTAGTGTTCTATGGGTTTGAATCCTACTTTTTTATTGTTGTTATTGTAATTTGTATATTGGGGGTTTAGGTTGTTATTGTTTTGTGTATTAGGGTTTTTATGATGAAAAGAAAATGGAAAATGTTTGAAGCAAGATAAATTTTGACTCGGATATCGGATTCGAACACCCAACATATCAAAACAAAAAAAAATGAAGAAGAGGGGACAAATTTTCAAAGGGATTTGTTCTAACAGTTTTTCCAAAATATGCTCCTAAGCATGTGTAATACACAAAAGTTTATGCGAGTATTACCAGACGTAATTGCTTTCATCATTTATTAAGTTCATTTACCTTTGCATGCTAACTGAAGTCAAATTAATGTTTTAGGTATTTCAAGATTCACTCATCTCCACTATCAGGACATAATATTACAAAATAAAAAGTTTTTTCGTTTAATATTTCTAGTTTGTATTGTATTATGTATTTTAACATTTACGTAGCTTAGTTTTTTATTAATTTTTGTCTTTGTATTATATTGTATGTTTGAATTATTTTCTGTTGAAATATGTTATCCTGGACCGTAAAAAAAAAAAAAAAAGACAAAATTTATATTGATTATCACCTGGGATCCAACATAAATTTACGTCAGTTACTCTATATCCGACATAATTATGTGTTCCATTCAACCACAAATTTATACTAGTGTTAATTTACGTCGCTTACCCTATATTCGACGTAATTACGTGTTCCATTCAACCACAAATTTATACTAGTGTTAATTCCCATTTCAACCAATTAAACCAACAAATCCGATTTTCAACACAATTTAAAGCCTTCAAATAAATAAAAAATATATTCTATATTTATATAAATGTTTCATAAAGCTCAAAAACCTTCTTTACTCTCTATTCTTCTTTTCTTCAATCTTATAACACAATTGTAACTTCAACATTCCTTTGATAATATAAATAAATTAGTCAACCTTCCCTCGGTTTAACTTAAAGCCTAAAGTCTTTTGTTCGAAAAAAAAAATACTTAAAAAAAATCTTGGAGGATTAGTAAAAAATTATGTCAATACAAATTTTTCTATCTATGTTTACTTAAACTACCCTGTTTATTTTACATTGTATTTTCTAATATATTTTTATATTCATTTAAAATAAAGAGTTTATAATAGTTTTTTATTTATAAAAAAAACAGTTCTAAAAGTTGTCATGTTTACAAGAATTTGCATATTATTAAATTATTTTATTTGCATCTAATTCTACATAGGTATATTTACAAAGATAATTTTTATTTTAAGATTAGTTTTCACTTAAATAAAGGAAATGCATATTTTAAGTTGCCAAAAATAAGTAATAAATTAAAAGGGTACAAATAGATAATAATCTAATGTTGGATTTTATAATCTATGGATTTCTTCGTTGATTTTTTTTCTTGAAAATCATATTTAAAAGAAAAATATAATTGTGTTATGAAAAATTATATTTATTGCGATATTGGTGGAAAAACGAGCCAGTTAATTCCGTTTTAGCCCAATCTATCTGTAGTTTGTAAAAATTGAGATAAGATAGAATAGTTTGTTTTAGTGAATACGAGTTATAAGCTTCAATGTGTCTGACCAGAGATTGGATTGATACGTTAGTGGACTAGTCCATTAATATATTTTTTATATAAAAATTTTATTTGTATTTTTAAAAAATATATATTTAATTATACAAATATTTTAAATTTTTTATTTATTAATTAATATTTTTATTAGATAAATTGAGGATGTTAAAATACTTAAATTATAATTTATAATTTAAACTTAATTAGTTAGTATTTATGATTTAAATTATAATATTGTAATCTATTTATAATAATATAATATTTTTATTTATAATAATTTTTATTTTAATTATAATATCTCAATATTTTTTTTAAATGAACTAATTTTTTCCCTCCCATCCTTGGATCGTCGGGTTTGTGAGTTAGGTAAGACAAGTCAAAATAGATTGACAAATTAAAACTATTAATCTATCGCATTAATTTGAGACAAGTTGATGGATTGACTTCCTAAACCTAATTCGTTTTATCATCTTATCATATATATACATGTGATTAATAGAAAAATGATAACACTTATATCATTTTTACGTATAACATATATATGACAAAAATAAATGAATGTAACATATCTAAATACAAATGAGTTAGGTAGGATAAGGTAAAACAAATTCATGGACTAAAATCATCAACCCGTCCTATTAATTTAAGAAGAGTTGATGAACTTACTTGTTCGGACTTAACCTATTTTGTCATCTTATTATATATATGTGATTAATAAAAAAATGATAACACTTATATCATTTTTATGTATAACATGTATATGACAAAAATATATCGAATAACACATTCTTGAGTTGATGCTTATGAAAATAAATGAATGTAATATTTCCAAATACAGATGAACTAAGTAGGACAAGTTAAAACTATCAACCTGTCCCATTAATTTGAGACAAGTTGATGGACCTACTTGTCAAACTCAACATGTTTTCTCATCTTATTATATAAATGTGATTAATAGAAAATGATAACACCAATATCATTTTTATGTATAACATATATATGACAAAAATACATCGAATAATACATTTTAAGTTGATGCTTATGAAAATAAATGAATGTAACATATCCAAATATAAAAAGGAGCAAATTAAAAATTATTGAAGTAACAATTAAATTAGTGAGGGTTTAAAAGATTTTTTAATTTAATAGAACTTGAAGTAGTCCAAGGAGGAGTTTTATCTTAAAAACATAATGATATATATGTCTTAATCTATTAAACAAGAACAATTTCTATCAAATGTACATTTTTACTCTCAACAACCCTATTTTGTTGATATGTAGCAAAAAAATAATTAAATTATTAATTTTATTAGTTTCTAAATATTGTTAAAATTTACAATTTTTATACTTCTTACCATTATTACTACATAAAACTTTAAGTTAAACGTTATACTGATTTCTTTTATGAAAAAATGTAAATGATAAACTTATCTCATATTTTTATTTCATTGACCATAATCAAATATTTTTTTATATATCTTTCAATAAAAATAACAACCTAACAAGATCTATCTCATGTTTGGATTTTAGACGACGTACATATGTATCATTAGAGGAGATTAAATACTTTTATATATAAATTTAATAAAAATAAAGTTTTATGACTTTTTATTAATTCACAAATATTATAATTAAAATTAGAAACATGATATTTTTAAATAAAGTAGAATATTTTTTAAATATTTAAATGAAGCATGACTAAAACATTGATATCATAACCATATTTTCGGATCTTTTATTTTTCCCTTAGAGTTATCAATTATTACTCATCAATTTTAAAACAAATCTAGATAATATAAGTTTTTTATCTAGTATCTTAACAAATTAATTATTTTGATTTGATATTTTAAGGACATAATAGTTAGACAACAAAATTTATTACATACAACGAACTAATTGTTATTTAGGAAAAAAAAACATTTAAAAGAAAGGACCAAGACAAAACAATATTTAAAGTAATAGTAAGATTTAAAATTTTGTCATCAATTAAAAACATATTTTTATATAGGTTGTTAATGTTGAGTGACTTTATATATCAAATATGAAATATCATATTATTTGTAATTTCAGTATCAATAATCTAAATATAATTTAAAATATTAATAATCTTATAAAGATTATTCATAAATAATTTATTATTTTGTTTGACATCTTATTTTT